GAGGCGAGATAAGAGTACCAGGCACCTGGCAAGGCAGCTTAGCCACCTGGTGCTGTACCCTCCCTTACCCCTGGCACTGCCACACTGCCCATGGAACATGGGGCACTGGCATTGCCTTACCCTGCAGGGGCTGGCAGCAGTGAGAATGCTTTCACCCACCAGCATTGCAAAGGATGCTGCTGCTGCTGCTTACCCAACAATAGGGATGAGGGTGCCTTACCCTGGCTGCTCTTACCCACCAACTATAAAAGAAAGGGGGGGGGGGTGTTCCCTCTTACCCACCAAGCTGTGCTTGGCAGCCTTTAGCCTTACCCAGCCAGAAAGAGCCAGCAGAGAAGATCCTAGCCCCGGAGTGCCATGCTGTGCTGGGTGATGCCGCTGGTGCCCAGCTCGGTGTCAGCCCTCTAACTGACAGCCAGTGCAGACTGTGCAGCTGATCAGGAGCGGAGGGGCGGGGATAGGCAGATGAGCGGGCGTGGCCTCCCGCTGTCCCTTCTGCAGCGCTGCTTACAGCACGTGGTTGTCAACGGAGTGGGGCGGGTCCCATGCTAAGTAGAGGGCGGGCGTTGGGGTGCCCTGTGACAAGTGATGCCTTCTGCTTGACGGGTGGCAAGGCTGTACTGTGCTAAGTTCACTACTCACATTACAATCGGATTGCACCATCTCCTGTAGTGCATGGGCCTGCCGTATTGGATACAGATTGATTGGTTGGTTTAGGTAGGTCATCATATTACATAGTAGTGGTCAATCAAAAATTGATTGTACAGTGAGGTTGTAACATGTATGGTGAGCCTAACGCATAGTTTGTTTTGTAAGTCTTAAGTTGATTGCATGGTCAGAGGTTGTAAGAAGTATGGCAGTGGTAGGTAACCTTGGCTCTCCAGCTGTGCAGAAACTACAAATCCCATAAGGCGTTGCAAGCCACGGGCATGACTCCCAGAGGTAGAAGCAAGATGGGATTTGTAGTTTCAGCACAGCTGGAGAGCCAAGGTTGCCTACCCCTGATGTATGGAGACCCTTATGGTTGCAGAGCTAAGACTGGTCATAGATGGCGGTTGGAGGATCTGGACATAGGCAGGTGCATCATCGCGCCCCGGTGGGAGACGTTGGTTGCATGTCTATAGGTAGACACTAATGCTCTGTTTCAATCCGAAGTTGTCCCCCGTAGTACCTCTACTTCACCACATGCCCTCAATCTTCCAGGCTTCATGACACCCAGAGGAAATTGGGTACATATTGTAAGTGCAGGGCGTCATGGCCCCGCCCCTGAGGAGGGTCTTACCTCTGCGCCCTTCATTCAGAGCGCAATGGTGCAAAGAGTGTCATGACATCACCACGGCTCTTTGGATCACTCGGCCCAGAGGAGAGACCAAGATGAAATGTACCCCATGGGGACACATGACCAGGATGAGAGCATGAGCATTAAATACTGTCAGTGAGGGCCACAAGGAGGAAAGCGGGGGGGGGTGATGTATGGGGTGTGCCCAATTCGCCACTTACTTAAATACTTAAAGCCCATCTTCAGACACCAAGTGCATCTCAAGCTGGCCACAAACCAGTAGAATTGTGTTGGGAAAAAAATATGTTTTCAGGTCGTTTTCTGGATTTTCTAAATGGGGTCAAATTGACGACGAGCAGGAAAGAACGTTTTTCTCGACCGAAACAAACTTCCAGCAGTGATCGTGGTTTTCGTTCAGGAAACTCCATTCATTCCAAAACCGAATGTGAAAGAAGAACTCCGGGCAGAATAAAAATTAACCCTTGCAGCGGGGTAACCCTGTACTGCAAGGGTTAACTGCTCGCTTTGGTCTAGGGGGCGAAAATAAAGAACATACACTCACCCGATCCCCGATCCCACAGTAGTCCCACGCTCACCTCTCTCACCCAATGCAAGTTAATGGAGGTGATGAGGTCACGGGTCCCTAGACCACCAGAGAGCGCGGGAGAAGAGGCTGCGGGGACCGGTCTATGAGCCAGATGGGACCGAGGAACAGGTGAGTATATCTTCTTTATTTGAGACCCTAGACCAAAGCGAGCAGGTAACCCTTGCAGTGCGGAGGTAGCCCCCACTGCAGGGGTGAAAGGAGAACTATGAGGTGAGTTCTTTTCAGTCACCTCATAGTTCTAGCCGACCTGTGACAATGAGACTGTCACAGGTTGGCTCGGTAGATCGGTAGGTGAGCGAACACATACCAGGTTCGCTCACCTTCCGATCCTGTCACGGCTCTCTGCTGTGACAGGGGAGGGGCTGGATTCCCCCCTCCCCGCTCCGATCTGCCAGCGCTGACTGGCGGAACGGACGGGAGAGGGGGCGGGTACAGCTGGCTCTGCCTCTAGATAGGCAGAGCCAGCTGTCAGTCACGCAGCTGGGCGGATCTCGGCACAATTGTCGGGATGGGATCTGCTTCAGCTGCTACGTCGTTTTTCTCTAAGTGACTGAATGAAGAAGAAATACTCACTCGATCCTCGGTCCCGCCTGGCTGCTAGATCCTCTTATTCCCCAGGCTCGGCCGGTCTAAGGACCCGTGACATCATCGCGTCTATACAGGTCTACTAGACGTGAGGATGCCGATATACTACAGCCAGAGCGCAGGGAGGAGAGAGGTGAGCGGTTTCTGCTGCATGATCGAGGATCAGATGAGTATTAGACATGTGCGCCTGCAAAACATTTTTTTGTTTCTTTTTCATTCAGATTTTTCATTATTTTGGGATTCGGGTCTGGAAATCAATTAGTTGCGGGACTCGGACCATTGGAGTGTTGACACCAAAATGACTAACAGTCATTTTGGTGTCACCCCTATGAAAAGTCAGGCACTTGGTCACAGACTGAGAGCCCGACAGTGTCAGGAGAGAGGAGGCTGAACGTCCCTTCCTCTCTCTGCCGGCGTCCATCACCAAGATCGCTGCCAGCAGGCGTCAATAAGACGATCGCGCATGCGTGATGATGTCATTGCTCACGCATGCGTTGAAGTCACACGTATGCGCGATGACGTCACGGCGGGGTGTCACCCGGTTTCCGCTCCGGGTGTCATCCAAACTCGGGACACCCTTGCTCGGACGAATTCCGGGTTTTTGTTAGCGGTAATATTTGCGAATTTTCGTTGCAGCAAAGTGACATTAGACAAAAGGAAAAAAAAATCCTTTTTTTTTTTACAGTTTGCAAAAAAAAAAAAGTGAGGTTCCCCCCCCAATTGATACCAGACCCTTTAGGTCCCCCCAGTTAAAAATAATAAAAAAGGGTTGTGGGGTTTCCCCCGAACGTCCTACAAGGCGATTTAGGTCTGGTAGGAATTTTAGGGGGGAACCCCACTCTCAAAAGAGGGGGAAAACAATATGGTGTCCCCACTAAAATTCCGACCAGACCCTTGATCCGACCAGACGGCCCGGCAGGCCAGGAAAGGGGGGGCGACGATCAAGTGCCCCAGGGCCGGATTTCGCTCAAGGCCAACCGAGGCCCGGCCTTGGGGCAGCAGGGAGTAGAGGGGCAGCAGGGGTTTGGAATTCCCATCCCCCGACACCTGGGACATTGAGTTCCGGGTGTCGGGCGGGTAGTTGTTTTCTACATTTAGCCCTGTTTTGGCCAAGCAGGGCTGAATGTACAGAGGGGAAGCCGCCGCTTGGTTTGTACAAGTGATCTCGATGATGTCGCCGTGATCACTTGTATGCAGCCTGCATACAGGGGGGCGCATTGAGGAACCTGGCATTGGGGCAGCAGAGAGAGTAAATCCGGCCCTGGCTGCGCCATACCAGAATGGGTATGGGAGGGTGTCCCCGTGACGACACAGGAACAAGGGCCCCTTTCCCACAACCCTGACTAGGTGGTTGTGGGGGTCTGCAGGCAGTGGGGGCTTATTTGCATCGGGGAACTCCTTTAAGGGGTAGTAAATGTTCTTTATTCCATCCCAATAAATTCCGTGTTACTATTATTGGCAGAATGTATCATATAGTAATATTGTCATTGTATCGGGCACAGGTCCACATCACTGTCAATATTATACAATGTCTACATTGTGCTCCCTTTATACTGAGCAGTCTATAAGAACAAAACGTACCCTGTTCTGGCCGCTTTCAGACGCTCAGGAAAGGGTTAAAATCATATGCTGTAATTTCATTAATGGCATTGCATATGACAGCAGTAATGTAGTAATTACTATGACCTCAGCTAATGTATCCCTAGAAGAGAAGAACTGCCTTTCATCTGGGCTGTGCGTGTCTGAGGTCTGGGTGGAGGACGGCCGGCGCAGCTCCTGGACACATATAACCAGGGCCGTCTTTAACACGGGGCAAAAGGGGCAGTTGCTCCAAAGAAAATGTTTGCTCAGGTTATAACCGGTATTAGGGCCCGTTCACACTATCCAGTGCGTTCCTCACAAAGTACCGTGCCATGAATGCACCAGATCGCATACACAAAGCCTATGTGTGGTTCCAGTGTGGCGCGATCACGTAAAATAGTGCATGCACGAACACAGGGCATTGCTGTATGACGCGTTTCGGCGGAGGCAGTCACACTGCGGGCAGGAGGCGTGTCTGCAGTGACATTGACATGGATGGCACCAACACGCCCCCTCCTGCCCCAGAACACAGGGAGGCTTTGTGTGTGCGATCCACTGCGTTCATGGCATGGTATTGTGCGATGAACGCACTGGATAGTGTGAACTAGGGGCGCACTGATACCAGTTTTGTATAGAGTACGAGCACCAATATTTTTTTTCAGTACTCGCCGATACAGTATACTGATACCCAAAGTCCCATTAAGAAAGCCCGGCGGCGTGTAATGACTCGCCACCTGGCTTCCTGATTAGCCGGGAAGCCGGAAGGCATGTAAAGATTTGCCACCCGGCTTCCCGATAAGCAGTGAAGCCGCCTCCATGCTCCCTCGTCACCAGGTGACGAGAAAGCATGGAGCTGGCTTTCTGGCCAATCAGGAAGCCGGGCGCCATGTAATGACCCGTTAAACGGCTTCCTGACTGGTCGAGAAGCCGGGCAACGAGTCATTACACGGCATCTTGGCTTTCTGATTGGCGGGGAAGCCGGCTCCATGACTCGCTGCCCTGCTTCCTGATACCGGAAGGTCAGGTTTCGGGCTAGGCATTGGAGCATTTGGGCGAGTACGAGCACTCGCCCAAATACTCGGCATTGGCACCGATACTAGTATCGGTATTGGTGCATCTCTAGTGTGAACTGGCCCTTAAAGATGGCTCTGTCTTCACATGTACTTTAAAATTCTGCATTTTGTTTTTTGAAATCTGGATGCTCAATGGCATTTTGGAGGATGTTCAGTAACATGATGGAGGATGCTCTGTGACATGATGGAGGATGCTCAGTGACATGAATGAGGATGCTCAGTGAAAACACAGGGAGGCTTTGTGTGTGCGATCCACTGCGTTCATGGCATGGTATTGTGCGATGAACGCACTGGATAGTGTGAACTAGGGGCGCA